CAGGTGCCTACTTACTGAATTTATACAATTTACTAATGATAATAAAATATAAATAGAAGTTATGTAAAATATAATTTAATTAACTTATATATATATATATATATATATATATATATATATATATATATATATATATATATATATATATATATATATATATATATATATATATAAATATATATATATATATATATATATATATATATATATATATATATATATATAAATATATATATATATATATATATATATATATATATATATATATATATATATATATGTATATATATATATATATATATATATATATATATATATAATCAAAAAACATTTGAAATAACACTAAAAATAACTTGAAAAAACTATATTGACTTAAGAAAGAGTTTTAGATCTTAGTCTTTTTCTTTTCTGTTCGATGTTATCTTTTTTTCTTGGACTTTTATTATCTACATCATTGTTTTAAAAATAATGTAATTTTTATTTACATACTATCAAGTACTTGACTTTCATTTTTTTTCATAATAAATCTCCTACGATATCTACACCACGTGCTCCAGCATTAAAATATATTATGGAAGTATTGACAACTTTAGTATACCTTTTTTGACAAAATAATTTTCTGATGCCAGATAAAAAAAAAAAATTAGTAAGCCTTTTATACAAAATTTATGAAATATTTTTAAAAGAATCATATATTTTGCATTGAATATTATGAAAAAATAAATATTATTTTTATGACCATCTTTATGAGTCATTTATATGTTGAGCCACCCATATGAACCAAATTTTTTTTATTTTAAAATTTCTGCAGATTTTCTTATTGTGTCACAATAACAATATAAAAAAAAAAGCATTTAATATGAGTCCTTTTTAAGTAAAAAGTTTAATTGTAAGTTTAATTTAAGCGTCTTGTATAAGTCCTAATCAACAAAGTCCTGACCAGTGTGTTTAAACTTAATCAACTAAGTTCTGACCAGTGGGAATAATTACTGTTTAAAACCATATTAATTAAGAGTAAAATTTAACTAATAAAATGCAATAATTTTTAACTTAGTTGAGTTTCATAGGCTTTTTCCAAAGGTAGCACATATGTATTCTAACTAAAAAAATACGATGACATATTACAAAATTACACTAAACAAGTTTTAGGAAAAGCATTTATGGTTTTATTAGATTCAAGACCTTTATGGAACAAATTAAATAGATACTGAATAATCAAATAATTTAAATACCATTATTTAAAAAAGATATACATATAAAATCAGACATCCCATTTTTCAAAAAGAAGCCTAAGATTCTTCGTCAATTTATTTATTGTCGCCAAGATGCATGTTGTTAACTGCAAATCCGATTCTTGCTGAATAATTTGTTAGAAAATATTGCTGAAATATTTGTTAGGACAGTAAAAAAGAATTGTTAAAAAAATGTTTTTTGAATTAGTAAAGCCATTTGTTTCTCAAAATTTGTGAACTAAAATCAGATTTTTTGCTGTACAGAAAAATTTTGCTAGATCACAAAAGTTTTGCTAGTACGCAAAAATTTTCATAGTGCACAAAAATTTCCTTGTACACAAAAATTTTGTTAGTTCACAAAATTCTTACATGGTTTATCATAAATCGTGATAGAAAAATAAATCAATAATTTATACTTTTTTCTATTACGTTTTAACAAATTAGAGACAAATAAAAAGGCGCGACACCTTTATAATTAAATAATATAGTTTTTTTTTTATTATTGAGACCAAATTAGTTTTTAAAAAATGACACTTTTTTTTCTCTTGTTTTGAAAAATACAACTTATTAAGGCGCGTGCTGAATTAGGTCACGAATACATTTTTAATTTTTTAATTTAACTAAATACAAATGCAAATAAAAACCAACATAATGGTTTTATGATGCAAATAAAAATCAACTTATCGTAAGTCAAATGTTGCTCAAAATAAAAATTTAAAGATTTTATGACGTTTAATCTTAATCGTTGCTTATTTTCTGCTTGAAAAAGAAAACTCTAATTGAGGAAGTGTGTTTATTTAAGATACTTTGCATACTTTTGCAAAACATGATATTACATCTAAGATATTTATTTTTAACGTAACTTGTTTTTTTTTATATGTAATTAACCTAGACGATAAAGGTTTTTTAAGAATAATTAAATACTGACACCCCAGTGGGCACAAGACATAAAACAGACGTCTATTAAACGTTTTGGACGTCTTTTGAACGTCTTTTGAACGTTCAAAAGACGTCTTATTTAGGTCTTGTGCTCATTGACACAAACATTTTTAGAAATGATCTTTTATTTGAGTAAATTTGTGTTTTTATTTCAACAAAGTAAGCAATCTCCTTTTTTTTTTTTTTGTTATTTTAGGTGCCCCAAGAAAACCTAACGGTCTTGTCACAGAGCACCGTTGAAGTGCATTTAACCAGGAAGTTCACGCCTCCTTCCTTACCGTGACGCGAAAATATATCCAGAGCGTTTCGAACGTGGATCTCCTGCTTATATAGCAAGCGCTCTAACCACTGCGCCTCGGCCGCACTAACCTACCTAATTCTCTTAAAATAGTATCTAAACTTTAAAATAAGATGTAAATAATTTTTCTAAGATTTAAGTTTTTGTTTTGCCTGTTTTGTTTTTTAAGGGGATATTTATCGCTAAATTTTTTAATTTTTTTAAATTTTAAACAATATTTAGATCCCCATAAGACATTGAAAGTTTGAACCTCTGGTTGCAGCATAAGTGGTGTTTTTCTCAGAGGTAATCAAGCAATGTCTTTATTTATGACTAAAAAAATTACACAAAAAATAATAAATTTTCTGCTGTTTACATCACATTCCAACAATTTTATATAAGCAATGTCTAATGATATCTGTCCATCTCCTAGAGTTCAGTTTGAAATGCTCAAAAAGGAACTTTAACTATAATATAAAAAAAAAATGTGTCTTTTTGATCAAAATAATTTTTTTATTACAAAAAACACCTTAAGTAAGTAAATGTACTATTAATGAAAAAAAACCTTATTTATCGATCCAAAAACTGGTAGAGGTTGTTCTGCTAACTTGTTTTTTAATTTTTTGACATTAAAAAAAGTTTACGCATTCAGTTCTGATCATCATCAAAAATTGACGTCTGTCTTTAATCCAAGAACTTTTTTTTACTTTTAAGTTCGAAGACAAAAAAGCAAAAATAGACTGTGAAGATGTTTAATTGTATTTACCTTTTATTACGTAAAGTACTTTTAACGAAGCTGTTAATTTTACTCCTTCACAAGATCACAATCTTTATTTCTTTAAATTTGATAAGGAAGTTTAAATCAATCATAAAGGTGCAGAAGAAACGATCAAATTCATTGAACAACAATTGGATTATAATTCAGGAGCTGATAATCTCTTTCTTGTTCAATAACTCTGACTTATGAAGAAAAAAAAAAGATAGATCAGACACATAGTAAGACCTACTTTTTTCTCTACTTTTCAATAAATATCAATAGGGGTAACATAAATTGTTTTCATAGGCTAGAACCAATGGCGTTGTTAGGCTCCCCGAGCCGCATTTATTGTAGCGCGGTAATTGAGTTTTGATAACACTACCTTGATGACCTAGTTATTTTTTATCAGTTAAAACTAAACAGACATAAGGAATTAATAAACTTTCTATCAAAAATTGAAATAAATTTGAAGACCTTAAAAGATTGAAAAAAAATTGTATGAATTCTTCCCTGTTTTAACAATGCTGAAGAGTGAAGTATCAAACTAAAGAGAATTTAAAGGCAAATGTCACTATTCAGTGAAAAGAAACAATTTACCCAAGTTGTTGAAAAGCAACATTTCAACAAAAATTGACATTTCAGTTTTGACGTGATTAGGTGTAAATTTATTAACATTTATTAAAATCATTTCTAGTATAAAATAAAAATAAATAAACTGTAAAGTAAAGACTCGTAAATTAACCAAACTTGGGCAGGATTATTTCTCAGTCACCAAAAAAGAAATTGTGTAAATCCTGTTTAAAAAGAAAAATGATTTAATCGACCAAAAGAAGTAGCTAATAGCATAGTTACTATGTAAATAATAAGTATATCGTAGCTACCTATTTGGTAGTTAACTTTTTTAGATTAAATCTATACCTGTTTCTTGGATCAAATCTATACCTTATTTGATATTTAACTTTTTTAGATCAAATCTACTAATACTAGTAAAAACTGCCGTTAAAAGTGTTAAAATAAAAAAATTAAATTAAAATAGACACCCTATGAAGGATTTAAGTTTATAACTTAGTTTTTATAAACAAATTCATTGATAATATTTATCGCACTCTTTTTTTTAATTTACAAAAGAAATTAAAATAAACAATTAGAAAATCATTCTTCTGCACAGAGATTTAAGTAGAAATATATTTTGTTAGGCTGAACAAGTAATTTTATTATTATTGACTTTATTTGAAGTTATTTAAAAACCATCAGTGTAGTTTCCAGACAGCTCCGGTGAAGCTTCTTTATACGTTCTTAAAATTCTCTAAGTGAAAATTTAAAAAATTCACACGATTCCGAGCGCGCAATTGAAACCACGGCAGGAAAGTTTTTCATTAAAATATAGTTTGAAAAGAATTGAAAATAAATGTTACACACACAGATATATATATATATATATATATATATATATAACATATTAACAATATTATGTATATATAATATATATATAAAACATATTAACAATATTAAGTATATATATATATATATATATATATATATATATATATATATATATATATATATATATATATATATATATATATATATATATATATATATATATCTGTGTATATATCTGTATATATATATATATATATATATATATATATATATATATATATATATATATATATATATATATATATATATATATATATATATATATATATATATATATATATATATATATATAATATATATATATATATATATATATATATATATATATATAAGGAATGCATATAGCAATAAAATAAATAGAGTATAATTAATTTAGCATGGTAGTATTAGAAAGTTGATAATAATAAAGGCCAACTTCTACAAAGTTAGTATATAAAAAAATAAAAAACAGAAATAGAAAAATTGTTAAAATGGAAGCTACTTTAAAAATACAACCAGATGTAAGTTTATTTTTTAAATTTTGAATTATTGTATTTGTAGTTAATATTTTTTAAGTAAAGTATATGAGAAAATTTTACCTAATTTATTTGTTGGAAAATTAACTAATTAGTAAACCCAGTAAAAATTATTGTAAAAAGATTTTTTATTCTGTTTTTTAAAGTTTATTTTTTAAAATGCAGTCTAAACTATATGGATCATTTGCTTGTTTAATTTTTTCATTTACCTTTTTTTGTTCCTTACAAAGATGCTTAAATGTAAAGATTCTTTTATGGTGTCACTCAGTTTTAATTAGTTTGTTACCTTTTTAACAAACCTGTAACTCTTATAACCCTTTTCTTTCACTCTTCCCCAATGTCTTTTTACATTAAATTATTTTAACTCATTATTCGGCCTATTTAAGGTGTATTTTAGTATAAAGGAGCATGATAGGTTGTTGCTAAACGTAATATATTGAAATTAATAACAAAAATTATAGTTTAATAAATAAATTTTTTTAATATTACATTGCAAATTTAATATGCACGCTGTTAAATTTTTTTAATATAAATATTGTACTGTTCATTAAAAAACAGTTATTAACCAATGTTCTCTTTATTATATTAGGGAGAGCAATAACATTATATAAAAATGATGGTTGTTTTTATGTAAAAAAGAGAACAACTTATTTTAATACATTAAGTATTAATTGATAATTGTTGATGCCATGAAGTATATTATTATGAATTTATTCAAGTATTTGCCACCTTGAAAAGTAATTAATTTTTGTTATTTTTTAATTTATTTAGTTGGCATCAATTGTATTTAAAAAGGGTTTTACCTGGTTTTATTAGTATTATTGTTATGACAATATTTTAAAAGTGGTCTGTAAAGTAAACTATAGTTATAGTTTTTTTTTTTATTAATCAGACTTCGCACTCGATAATTGACCACGGAAATAATATTTAGTTGCGAAAAACCGGCCAGATTTTTTAGTCGTTTTGAGAACATTTCAAAAACAAACAAAAAAGCGCAATAAGATTAACTGGACCGATGAGAGACAGTTAAAAAAAGAAAAATAGCTTTTAAAGCGAAAAAACTTTAAGCAAAATAAATTTATTAGAGCAATTATTTTTAAAACGTCGCTCTTTTATAGTTTTTTTTTATAAAATTAAGTGACATTTTTTATATAAAGTAACAACTATAAAGAAACAAATGTTCTTCAATTTATCAAAGAGTATATATAATTTTTATTTATATACTTATGTCTTATTTCCAGTTGCAGATTGAGGAGGTGGGGTGGGGGTAGTAGGGCTAATCCCGGGACTCACAATGTTAGGGGAAATAGTCAAGAGAACCATTCAGTATTTTTTTAATCATTTTTACGCTGTGGCACATAAAAAAGGCTGCCAAAATAATGCAGACCCCGGTCCTGAAAAGTCCAACAAGATTCAACCAATAAAACTAACGCTAGATGATTTTTTAATAAATAAAAAAGTTTTTTCAATAACTGTTTTATGCTTCGCGTAGTTTAAAAAGTTTAACACGTTTGAAACAATTCTTCTTAGTAAGATGAACAAATGAAATCATTCACAAGATGAACAAATGAAATCATTGAGTTACTGTAGAAATTTAATTAGCTAGATAGAAATTAACTAAAAACGTTAAATTACTTTGTGAGGAGGGAGCGGAACTGCTTCACAATAACGCTGTTGATATTTAGTGAGTGGGCTTTATAATTTTAATTAGTATAACAAGTTTGCAAAAATAATTGAAGTTAGTAAACCAATTTCTAAGAACTTAAAAACTTTTCCTTATAGTTGTTACTTTATATAAAAAATGTCAGTTAATTTTATAAAAAAAATTATAAAAGAGCGACGTTTCAAAAATAATTGCTCTATTAAATTTATTTTGCTTAAAGTTTTTTTGCGTTAATATTTACTTTTTTGGGGAAAAGAATCAGTTATCAGGTAGACTGAGAAAAATGGATTAGTGGTTAAAATCTTTTGTGTTAACTTTGATTACATTTGAATAAAATAGACATACATAAAATTACAAAGATAAAAATACATTAAATATTTAAAAATACATTACATACATAAAAATACATTACATACATAAAAATACATTACATACATAAAAAATACATCTTTCATATAAAGTAAGAATATACTAATAAAATCTATAATATATTTACAAAACGTTGACAAGTTAAAAAATATAAATTTAAAACATTTATTATTGTAAACAAATAATGTTAGTTTAAAACATTTATAGCTTTGTAGATATGGCTTCGAGAATTAAAATAATAGTTTTTTTGATAGTATATTCTTAAAATAATTTATGCTAGAAATCTCACAAAAGCGTAACTAAATTCAAATAATACAATTTTTAAAAATATTTCAACAGAGTACTCAGGACATTCGGATAGTATTTTTTGAATACTCTAAAAATTTTGGTTAGTATTTTTTGAACCAATAGAATTAGTTGTTCGTAGATTTGGCGGGTTTTTTGTGTTCGCTAATATTCTTTTTTTATTTTTCCGCACTAAGATGGTTGAGAACATTCAAGTTTATGTATGTTTCCATGTAAGTCAGTAAAACAAGATTGAACTTATTATTTTGCAGACAAACAAGGAAACATACATAAACTTAAATGTTCCCAAAAGGACTTAAAAATCTGGTCGGTTTTTTGCAACTAAATATTACTTCCATGGTTAGTTATCGAGTGCGATCGCACCCGTTTCCCGACCAAGCCTGATTAATTATAATTATTTAACTAATCCTATTGTAATTACTAATTAAACAAGTCAATTTTTTTAACCATGTTTAGATCTCTGAAGTTCCAGGCAGCAGGACATCAGAGATGTCCTGCTGCCTGCAAATGGGTTTTTTCATCTTTTTTTACAAAAACATTTTTTTTGTACATAAATAAAAAGACAAATGTCTTTTTATTTATGTATAAAAAAAGTAAAAAGTCTTGCCTGATGCTAAGCTCCATTGTTTTAAGATTACTAAATCTTGTATGTTATCTGAGATGTTAGGTTGGAATAGCAACCTCTCACTCTCAGACAAGGTCCAAAAGCATATTGTAAATGTAGTGGGACCTGCTTTATTGGCCAAGTGTGAGTCATCATTGTAATTTTGTATCTCTTTTTTTTTTCTACAAATACAGACTTGGTCGGGAAGCAGGAGCGATCGCTCTCGATTGCTGACCACGTAAATAATATTTAGTTGCGAAAAGCTGGCCAGATTTTTTATTCGTTTTGAGAACATTTTAAAAAGCAAAAAAAAAGCGCAAAAGATTAATTAGACCAATGAGAGACAATTACAAAAAAAAAATATCTTTATACGCGAAAAAACTTAAAGCTAAATAAATTACGTTTAGAACAAATATTTTCGAAACATCGCTCTTTTATAATTTTTTTTTATTAAATTAAGCGATGTTTTTTATATAAAGTAACATCTTACGATTGTTTAAAAAGGAAACAATTATTCTTTATTTAACGAAGTTTGCAAGTTTTAGTTTTATTTAGGCTAAACTATTTTATAAATAAAAAAAGTTATTTTTTTAATAGGGAAGACCGGGGCTAGTTGACTCGGTTTTTACTCTATGAGCTCTGTAGTCCTAACAGAACATTTTTTTGAAAATATAAAAGTGTAGTTTCGAAGAGTATGAATTTGGGTAACTTATAAAAGTTGCATTCATTTACAAAAAAAATATTTTGGGGCCTTTCTGGGCCCTCAAGAAAGAAAAAAAGCTTAAGTTATAGGTCCTATTTAAGTGTATTCCAATAATATTTTAACCCCCCACCCCTTTTTTTTAATGGAATCATAGCTGAAATATACTTTTATCAATATCATCAAACTTTTGGGTCAAGTCATTGTAACATTTTAAGCAATAGAAAGTAAATATAATTAAAAAATACAGTGGCAAAACAAAACAGTGTTCTTAACTTATGGTTATACAATAAAAATTAAAACTTATTGTTTTATTACATGATTATTTTTAACTAATGGAGTTTTAAATCAGCTAGCAGCAATTATTGCAAATGAAAAACAAAGATTTTCCGATTATACATGACTCGTGAGCCCAAAGGTGACATTGGGTGCATTGAACCCAAACTTCCTCTGGTTTACTTTTAAAAAACATTCCAACACAAACCAAACAAAAGCACTCCTCTTCAACAGAGCTATTTGGACAATTCAAACTTTTCTCCATTTAGTGTAAACTTCCTTTACTATTTGATCTTTTACTCATCTTAATATTATCTTCATTTAACTTTTTTGCTTGTTTTCTCTCTTCGATTGCTAACTTTTTCTTTTTAGCTGATTCTTTCTCTATTTTTAAAACATTCATATTTGGTGAATCTGTTAAAATTAATGTGGTTCTACTTCTTTTATTAGTCCTAACTCTTTTTCTTGGTTCAGCTTTTTTGAATGGTCTTAAATCTTCAGGCGATAGAACTACAGTTGACTCTGTAGATGCACTGTGTACATCATTACTGCTTGAATATGAAATATCTTGACGTGGTTCTATAATTTTTGAGCAACCAGCATTTAACATCTCATTCTCAGATATTGTAAAGTCTACATTACTTATATTTAGCGCTGTACTTTCCACAGCACAGTCTTGTTTCAGAGGTGGTCTATATGTGGTATAGGCTGGCATAAAATCGTGTTCACCAAAAATGTTAACATTTAGTGGGTAAATTCCTGTTTTTGCAAAACCAGCCTTGATATTATTAGGGGTACATGCTAATGGAAATTAGTTACCCACAATACCTAGTATACTGTAAATAGACATTGTGGAACCAGGGTGCATTGTCATCCACGCATCGCAAGCTTTGTTTGTGTATTTTTTAAAAGGTCCAAATACACTTCGATCTAGAGGTTGAAGTTTATGGCTGCAATGAGGAGGAAATGATTAAACCGATACCCCGTTAATCTAAAGCCTCTACTGAAAGATGAGAGTCATGATTGTCTAATAGCAACAAAACAGGTCGTTCTTTTGTACTTCTGGC